GAAAGTTTCCTCTCCTCCTAAATCTGACCTAATCAAAGATGAAGAACATTATAAGATCAAGCAAATCCTCAACTATCACATCTGAAAAACCTATGATCATCAGAGTCATAGCCTCAATTCTGTTATTGAATATCTCATCAAATGGAAGGGATATAGTCCAGAGTCCAATCAGTGGATCAGTGAATGAAATATAAATGCTGATGTAGCTATTTATAACTATAAACTCTCTCTTAACTGGACCATTAAGATGATAGTCTTAACAAAAGAGTGATATTATGATTTTTTCTGCTTATCTTATATTTTCTTCACTTATTTTATTTTTTCTTATCTTATCAGAGTGCCTATCTGATTTAAAGTGCTTATTTATTATAAAACAATTATTTAACTATAATAGGCAGCTTTTACTATTATTCTTTGATATGCAATAGATGCCTTGTCAATAGACACTACCTTATTGTCTTGCTCTCAACAATCAGACAACTATGACACTATAGTGTAGAAATGCTTAACAAATAGAAAACTATATTTATATTTCATAAAAACATATATAAGTAGAATAGCTCTCACTGTAGTACTCCAGCTTCAAGCTAAAGTTTATTCATATCATTCTCCTTCTCTTGAGCCTAATCTGTAAATAGCTTTGGTGCACTCAGTCAGACTACACAATTAGTGGACTTTAGCATGACTGTATGAACTTGATACAGCACTAGTTTATCATGTGTTTTGATCACATACCAAGTGGATCTAATATAGCTATTGATGATATACAATTAAGTTCTTTGGCTGATCAAGCAGAATTATTCACTTGTCAGCCTTATCTTTTATCTTCTCTATCTTCATGTCTTTGCTATTTTCTTCAGCAGCATCAGTCTCTTTCTGCAACTCTGTGATCTGTGCCCATATTTTTTCATGAGTCTATTTCTTCTTCAGGCAGTTCTTCAACAGATGGTCTTTCTTTCTGCAATTGAAGCACTTCTCTTTCTTCTTTAGTTGGTCAATATCCATAGGCTTTTCTTGCTCTGTATATGTGATGCTAATCAAAGTTTTTTTCTTGCCAGTGGTGCTGGATATTACTCTCTTTGACTGTCTGGGCATACTCTTGCTCATCAACCTCTGATATCTCTTCTTATCATAGTTCTGATGCATGGCACCAGTTATCTTCTGTTGTTATTGTTTTCAGTTTATTATCATGATATGCTCCTTCCAGATATTATATCTTTTAGGCATGTTGATACTAATGTCTGAAATAGTCTTAGTCTATAACAGTGGGACTCTAATCTTTAACACTTCCACTATGTGATCTGTTTTGGTTATATCATGATGAAGATTGGCCAGTCAAGCTAGTCATTCCAGCTTGTAAAAGTATTCATTGGTCATTTTGTCACCTATTTGTAGTTTGTATATCTTGACTGTATATATATCCTGGACAGCTGAATCTGTGAACTTCTCTCAGATGGTCTCTTTGAAGTTCTTCCAGGATGACAATCAATAATGCTTTCTAATAGCAGAATATAAGTTGGTAAGAGTTATCATCTACTATTCTTTTACTTTGTCTTCAAAATAGAAGGTAGCAAGTGACTCAATACATGTTGGCAGTTAAGTAGACTGCATAGACTTCAAAGTATATTTTGTAGTCTACTAGAAATCTGTTGATGTTATTGGAGGCTCTCTTGAAGGATCATGGTTTTCTTATGAGTTCTGGCTTACATTGGATTAGAGAGGCATTAATAGCAAGGGCAGCTATTAGGTTAAGGTATTTGTCAAAGAGGGAGTATTGCTAGAAGACTAGTGGTTCTGACAAGGAATGCAAAAAGTGATCATCAGCAATAGGACTGCCTGCTCCTGTTTCTCTTTTCCTTTTGATTTTCCCATTGATAATTTTGAAGTTACTGGCCTTAAGATCATTCTAGTCTTTCTCATTTCTGTCAGTGGAAACAGAGTTCTTCTCTCTGCTGAGTCTCACAGTGGGGTCAGAAGGATCATTCTGTCCAGCAAAGAGATGGCTTTCTTGTGCATTCAGCCATGAATATCATTGGCATAAAGTAGGTGATAGAGTCAGACAGTTTGGGAATATGGTTCATGCTACTGACCAGACTAAAAGTATCATATACACAGCTTGTTTTAGTGGTATAGGTAGCATGTGTGGCATTGGTTGGATGTTGAATCAGATTTGATCTGGTAGTAGGTTGGCCTTTATGTTGATGGAGTATCAGTCATTAAATATGTAAATCACTTGTTCAGTCATATAATACTGTAAAATGTCCACCTTCTCTTTGGTTCCTGCTATTAAATATTCTTTCTCTAATAGAGTCACCCTCCAGGCAATATCCATGGGAATTGCACATACTCACTCATGATATATCTCTCTGAACTCTTCTTTAAATATTCACTGAATATCTTCTCAGATATGCTCTTCATCCTATGTCCTGTCCATCTCTTTCTTGAGAGTTCTAGACAATACAGATGGAGAGAAAGCTGCTGTTGGAGCTCTTATCATCACTAGAGAGTCCTCTTAGAGAGATAGGAGGGCCAGATCATCAGATGGAGAGTCTGGCTGCTTTTTTAGCATCTGCTGCTTCCTCCATGTCAAAGAAATGCCTTCTGAGAATATGGAGAAACTCTATGCTTTAGAGTAAAATAAAGTTTCCATTGCTAAGAATTGTGTTGATATTGATAGGATAGGCTTAGCAGAACCTGGCAGGCTCAGGAGGTCTGAGAGAAGAAATGCTGGAGGAGCCTTTCCCTGAGAAGAGAGTATTGGGAGAGTTAGAGCATAAGAGTTCAGAGGTTCCAGTGGGAGTCCCATAGTTAAAATAGATGGTAGCAGCAGTGGCCCATCAGTTGGTGTCAATAAAGTCCTGAGTGCAGTCTTCAGGGCTGGGCTCAGAAGAGGCAGTGGTAGGGCTGAGAGTCAGAGTGATCCAGAAGTCTGAAGGGAGGTCTCTTGTGAGAGTTCTGATATTGTGATACTTATTATATCATGGCTGGTAGTTTCTGAGGATTTTTGACTCATTTAATATTTTTGAAGTAGTTTCTTGAAAGTCATCTCTGAGGACATCTTCAGATATGAGGTTTGTGGAGATTTTAGGATTTCTGAGAGAATCTGTTGAGACTTCATAGAGGAGAAGAACAGGAGAGTCATTCTGTCAAGAGTGAATATAAGCAAGATTGTGTAAATAGGTGTAGTAGCAGATAATCCAGATACCAATAAACTGGTTTCTGCAGCAGAGGAGGATTAGGATAAACAGCATGAGTAAGATGCTAATAATAGCATTTAAGAGCTTAAAGAAGTCAGTGGTGAGATTGGAGCTTGTTTGCATTCAGTTTCCTTCACAAGATGATTGCATAAGAAAAGAGAAGGTTGAAGCTTTAAGCTAATTGTTAAACCTGTTTGTTATGTAGACTAAACATGTGATAAACTAGTGCTGTATCATATTCATACAGTCATGCTAGAGTCTACTGGAATATGTTTGATGGATGAGATCAAAGCATTTACAAGTAGACTCAAGAGGTGGAGTAGTATGAATAAACTTTAGCTCAAAGCTGGTCTACTACAGTGAGAGCTACACTATCTATATATGTTTTTGAGAGTGATAAATATAGCTCTACTTATTGTGTCCTCCTGTGACATGATACTATAGAGTATGGTTGTCATGCATGAAACAATAGTTTTTGTCTGTTGATGAGGCATCTAGCATATGCTATAGTATAATAGCATGAATTGTCTAGTATAGTCATAGTAACTGGCCCATGATCACTAAGCACCTAAGATCAGATAGATGCTCTGATAAGACAAGATAAGATAAGGAAATAAAAGGAAAATCATAACAACAATCTCTGTTTTATCCAGTTCTTCAAAAATATGCTCTAGAATAGTCTAGTGACCCTTATACTTCTTTGCTGTTTAAGCAGCCTCATTTCCACTTAATTTCTTCTGATAAGCATTCATGAATCAGATTGAATGGACTGAAAACCTACCAGAAGATAAGCTACCAACTGCTTGAGAAAGAAAATGACACACTGGCACATTGTGGAAATATCAACTATTTTCAATGTCTTGCACATATTCTTCTTCAAATCAGCTTTCTTTGATGATGGTGGATACATTCTATATTTCTGTTTCACATAACCTTAGCACTGCTCAATAAAATTAAGTTTACAGTGGAACTTAGGCAGAAACAACAGGTCAAATCCCTAAGCCTTAACCTCCACTTTAAGCTTTGACTCTATATTTTCTTTATTTTTATTTGATCTCTTTTATTTTAAGGAAACTCCAGAGTATTGTACTAGGTTATGCAGCTTCCTAGGAATAGGAGGCATGCCCAAACAATGTGTTCCAGCTGAATACAACATGTGAATATGTTGCATTGTGGTTGTATCTTAATTTGTCTGCTGCCATCAAATCACAAATTTGCTATCTAATCTTGCTGAGCTTCAAAATCAGGAAATCAAAGCCTGAGCATTTATGCAAAATAACATTATCTACAATCCCTCAGAGCCAGATTTGGCATTTACTTCCATATGCAGGAGTAGATAAGTTTCTTTGTGAAAATGTCACAATTTATAACATATTTGTCATGTGATGTTCTTGGTTCCGCTTGAGGCATACCTTAATATTTGGGAAAGTTTCAATATTATTTCAATAATTATAAATAATAAAATAATATTTAAAATAATCTTCTGATATTTTAAGCTGAAAGCTGGAAAAAATAAATAGTTATAGAATTCAATATTCTGAGGTATAATATTCAATTTTTCAGGCAGTAAGATATAGCAAAATTGTTCATAAAAGTCAATTAATGGAAGCTGGATGGAGGGCTGGTGGAAGATCTCACCAGCAGTTTTCGATGTACTTTTCTTGGACCCATTGACTATGTAAAATGCATAGCATGTTAGGATTTTGTCAAAACTTTGATTCAATTGTCGTCAGACAGATATTCATTGCCTTTTTTGTCCATACTTTCATCGCGACAAAACAAGAACAAAGTATTGTCCGCTTTCTCGGAAGTCATCATCTGTGCTTTTGGGTCACCCTTACTGCTTGCCAAAATCATCTGTTTTCGATGTAATATTCGGAATAAATATAACACCATTTTACTTATATGTGCCTTTCAGTGATCCACGTCATCATCCATGTCCTTCAACGCGCCAGCCTTGGCAGCATATTTTGAAAGGCAGCGGCTCTTGCTAGCCCAAGAACGCTCAGCGGAACTACAAAGAAATTCGCTCCTTCGATCCAATTGCGGACCGAAACTTTTGGAGCAGAAAGGTCTAGCTCTTGCCGGCTTGGGGGTTGTGACCGTAAATATCGGCCTCGGCGGTAAAACGTAGAGATCACTCATCCTGGAACATTGCGGTCGACTGACAGAGGTGAAAGCACAGTTTAGTCGAATTGGAACGTCCAGCTGCGTACCATACAAGCCCGACCTTTCCTCCACATACTTTCAGGTGATCATTCCGATGCTTGCAAGTTTGGATCGGTTCTGACCAGTAGCGAAGACCAGGAGATCTCACACAAATAGAGGAAAACATTACAGCCAACTCAGCTCAGAAAAAGCCTAAGAAATCTGTCGCTTCCTCTGAGCCTCAAAGCTCCCCAGTTGAAGGCGTCGTATATAAGGTCAAGACTTGGTTCACTTACCTATCATGGGCATCCTCTTATACGTGGATTAGATCTCAGACACGCGAATAATTATCGCTGTTGACCCATCCGATTCTTCAGACGATCTCGATCTGCCTGACCGCTGTCGCGTTTTGAAAATTGCGAATAGTGTAACTTATGATAGGTACTGCATGCCGATCTGTGATATTACTTCAATCTTACGTCTCTTTCAGGATGGATAAAGCCGTAGACCAACTCGAAAAGACAGTCACCGAATCCAAGGTTTGCCTCAGTCTTAGATACGGCAATCGCTGTTTTGCTTATTACCGGGATAGTCCGATGACAAGAATGTGCCGCGGTTGACGCCTCTTGTCCAAGTTTTAATGGGCTTGGCTGCAATCTCCAAAAGGATTCCGCTGGAAGATATACAATTTTTCGATAAGAGCCTCAATTCAAGTCAAAAAGAAGCCGTCAAATTTTGTTTGGAATCCCCAGAGGTAGCATGCATTCATGGCCCTCCAGGTCCCTTTTCTCAATATTGATATTGCCTTTATTCTAACCCGTCCAAGGCACTGGGAAGACGCATACCCTAATAGAAATAATCCGACAACTCGTGTCTGTGTCGTCGACGTCCGAGAAACCTCGCAGACTACTGGTCTGCGGTGCCTCTAACCTATCGGTGGATAACATTCTGGAAAGACTCCTGGCTCTTCCCGCTGAAGACAAGGGGAAAAGACTCAAAGTTACCCGCATCGGCCACCCTGCGCGCGTTATGGCCCAAGACTCCGTCTTGGATGCTACATTGGATGTGAAGGCGGCCAGGACGGATCAGGTTTGGCGTTTCCGTCATTCTATAGTTTCAAATTTACCATTCACAAGGCATCATTAGCAAAGGATGTGAAAATGGAACTGGAAGCAACGCTCGGAATTCTTTCAGGCAAAGGAAAGAGTGCCAAGGGAAAACGTCCTAAAGGTGCCGAACGGAGAAGGCTATGGGAAGAAGTGAAGGCTTTGCGTAAAGAGTAAGTGATGTCCTCAAATCTTCGAATGTCACCTGCTAATATCTACAAGGTATCGTCAGCGTGAAGGGGGCGTGGTCGAAGCTGTCTTAGGCGACTCACAGGTAGGCAGGCCCTTGTGTTAGTTCCACTTCTGTTCACGCTCTTTGAGATCGTTCTCGCAACATGCCATTCATCTGGTGGTAGACAATTACGAAATCATATTTTTGATGTGGTAATCATTGACGAGGCAACGCAAGCATTAGAAGCTGTGAGTGCATTTTACATCTTCTACACTGGAGCGTATTAACGGTGTGGCCTTCTCAGGTGTGCTGGATCCCCATATTCAAGGCGAAAAAGCTGATCTTAGCCGGCGATCCAATGCAGCTACCGCCAACGGTGCTATCGATCAACAAGGACTTTAAAACAAGAACCAACAAGAAGGCGCAGCCGCCTTCTAAGGAGAAACCAGCAGACTCAAAAAGCAAGGGTGGTCAGAATTCTAAGCCTGAGACAGTAGCAGAATCGGATTCGGAAAGGACTGATAGTGACTCGGAAGAAGAGCCGATGCAAGCTCCAGTGGCTGTATCTAATGCATCAAAACCCCCAAGCCTGAAACCTCCACGGACATTAGAGACCACGTTATTCGATCGTTTAGAGAAAATGTATGGACCGAGCATTAAAAGAATGCTTCAGGTGCAATATCGGTACGTCTTCTACCTCAACCAGACTGATTGACATGCAACCTGACTGTTTGTGCAGCATGCACTCCCAGATCTGCGAATTTCCGTCCAAAACACTTTATGAATCCAAACTAGAGTCACACGACTCTGTCGCGTCGCACTTGTTGAGCGATGTCGTTCAAGCCGAAGGAGATGAAGAGACGATGAAAGAGGTGCTTGAGACACCCGTTGTCTTCTTCGACACGGCTGGATGTGAGTACTTTGAGAGGCTCGAGGGAGACGGAGACGAGGGATCTCGGTGTAATGAGAATGAGGCCACAGTCGTAAAGCAATGGATCGATAAGTTGGTATGCTCCTTTTCCAACTAATCCCTTTCTATTGCCTAACTCTTGACATAGACGAGTATGGGTGTCCTCGCTTCCCAGATAGCAGTCATCACACCGTAAGTTCTCCTTTCCTTACACTGATACGAATTTAAAGTTGAGCAGATACCAAGCGCAAGTCACTTTGCTCACGTCTCTGCTGAGACCTCAATACGGAAGCGTTCTGGAGATAGGTACTGTCGATGGCATGCAGGGTAGGGAAAAAGACGCTGTGATTATAAGTTTGGTAAGGAGTAACGACAAGGTTTGTCAACTACGCGTTCCCTGTCCACGGCTACTGACGTCTCATGCACAGCGTGAGGTAGGATTCTTAAAGGAGAAGCGGCGTCTCAATGGTGAGTTGCTCTAACGGCGTTTTGGTTCAACTTCTTGACATGTTTGTAGTCGCGATGACGAGAGCAAAACGGCACCTTGTACGTTGTTCATTCTCTTGGGTGCCTTTGTCAATGATTACCCATGTCTCAGTGCGTCGTTGGTGACTCCTCGACTGTCCGACATGGTGGTCGATACCTCAAAAACTGGCTCGCTTGGCTTGACGCCAATGCAGACGTTAGGTATGCTGGTCTCGAATAATGCCATGTACCAAAACTATTATACAATAATTCTACAATGTCACGTTATCCATGCGTCCTGGTAGGTCGTATACACTATCATCACGCCTCGTCTAAATTTGAGGTAAAGTATAATGATATATCGTGAAGGTCATATGTTTGGCTGTCCAGTTGACCCTCTCTTTCGTTCCATAAATTCAACTTGAGCATACCACGCTCCTCCAATCAGCGTCAGAACTATACCTATGCCATTTGCCGTACTTATGGTCAAATCAAACATCAAGACAGCTGATAAAACTGTCAAGACCTGCTTGACATTGGCTAGTTGAAAATCAGCTTTAGTTCGGGGCTTCTGTAAAGAACTAACCTGCAACAGTCATACCAAGTGCACCCACTTTTCGGTTAGCAGTAAAACTAACGATATTTAAACCAAGCGCGATGCAGCCGTTAAGCGCAAGGGCGCAAGCTTCGGAAAATGACATTTCTTTTGAGGCATAGTGACGGACATTTGCAAGTTCTCCAGTAAAATGTGCCAAGAGTACACACTGAATGAAAGCTAAAGGTGAAAGAACGTGTAGCAGTGCGAGGGAATGTAGTTGAGGTCGCCGGATAGAATGGATGATAGATAAAGGAATTTGGGATGGTGATGGATGTCGCGATCTCGGGGCCTGGAGAACGTTGGTAAATATAGTCTTGAGAGAGGCCAAGACAGTGCCAAGGAGTGTTAGAATAAATCCCCACAAGGTGCAATAATAGTCTCCGTATGTCCTGCAGTACGAAAGTGTCAATGACAACGGTCGATGGAGACCGGCAATTTACTCACGCAAAACCGACGCCTATGACCACTGGTATGAGAGATACTCGCTTGGCATAGCTGCTCTGCTTCCCATAGAGTAAGGCGGAGAAAAGGATGGTGAATATGGGTGTCGCGGCGCGAATGACCTGATGAAACTACAGGAACGGATCGAGAATGAGGCAATTGAACGTACAGAGCAAATAATCTTACAGGAATGGTGACAAGCTGCAGGGACAAGTTACTGACAACAATATTGACGGAATAAAGTACAGAGAAAGCGACGATAACGATGGTCTCCTGAGGATCCAATTTGATGGGAGAGAAGGATCCGTTATGAAGGAGTAATGCACCTCCTATCGTTCCAAAGAGTGCATGAATGGCAGTGAGGGTATAAGGGAACGGAAAGCGCAAAAGTACACCCTTGTTGTACAGCGTCAAGCCGAGATTAAAACAGAAATACAAGGCCAGCCAGAAGGCCTGGGTCGACAGATACAATGGTCTGTCGCTGGAAGAAGATACTGAAGCGCGAGGTGGTGGCAGCTCAGTAAAAAAGCCTGAAAGGTCAACCATGCTAGACGGCTGGGAAAATGGCTCGGGATGATACATACGGGTCGACAGGCGCAGATGGCGCTGCTGCGTCCGTCGAATGTTCATGCCCGCCAAGCGAGGCTTGGGTTTCTCATTCTCCTTCTGGTCCCGCTCATGGCTCCGCCGACCCTGCGACTGGTAATGAGCAGCGATGAACTTAGTCTGTGAATGAGATGCGTTCGAGGAAAACAAGTTGTCGACATTGTTATGCAAGTGGAGCGATGACCTATGCATCTCCTTAAGAGAGCGTCAGAAATCATACGAAGGTCGCCGAGAACGAAAAGGCAAGTCGTCGTCGTCGTCACGAAGGAGGAGGATGCGCGCCCCACACGTGGGAGCTTTGATATCTTCGGTCCGATTATCCTGTGTACCTGTTCATAGTGGTCCTTGAAGGCTTCGGACCTGCGGCCGTGCGGTACGAAGTGTATCTTTAAGTTGGCGATTCCGTATCCGGCTTTAGAATCTCTCAACTGGAATTATGGTTGCGGTCAAAGTTCATGCCCTGTAGTTATCAATCGAATGGTTGACGTTGCCGACTCAAATGATTTCATGGTCCTAGTATCAGTAGATTTCCACAAAATTACTACTATGTAAAAGGTAGAGATTTGTTCTTGAGTCAAGATTGGAAGTTGGATGGCGTATATGCTGTCGTACATTCCTTCTAGTTTGACTATCACTAGGTGTTGTTGAAGAATACTCCGAATATGGACTCTGAAAGATTCTCAACAATATATATTTTTGCTGGGAAGTAGTAGTAGCGGACATGAGATCAAACAATAGACTTGATCGCAAAGAGCTATTCATCAGCATCAGTATGAAGAATGGTTGAGTTCAAGCTAAGACGCCTTGATTGGAGAAGCCCCACCCAGCAGATGATGACCTAGTACGTCGTACTGAAATACATATGATACATGTGCATTCAGCTCAGTGACTCCACCGATAACAATCGGAATTAAAGACAGCCTGGCACTGATATGTTGAGCACTACAAATATTTCCCAGATAGTCATTCCAGTCACATATAAGTCATCGGTTTTGGAGTAACACGACAGTGGTACAGGGGGCGGGGGGAAATTGCACAATGAAGCAGATGAATAGTTCATTATCGAGCGAGGCAAGACAGGATCTACCTCAAGCATTGCACTTCTAAAGTCGCAGAGGCGTAACGAACCATCCGAATACATCAGGAGGTATAGAGGTCACAATGCAATATTCCTCTTGCATGCAAACGGTCAACGAGGTCAAATAGCTGCGATATAATTTCAAGCCTTCTCTCCGTAGAAAGCTCGGCGCGGATACGGGGAGTCTTGAACATCTCGGAGGCAGGCGCACCACAAGACTCGTACAGTGTTATAAAGCCAGCTAGTTCGGCATTAGAGTACAAGCGGCCAACAACTGGGACAGAGCAGTCTCCTGCGAGCAGCATCAGCCTGAGCACCTGCTCCATCGCTTCTCCAGGCTCATGGAAAAGCTTGAGTACGACGAATCCGCCCCCACTGGAGTGTATAACGTCGTACGGTCGCAGGTCTGCGATATCGCGATCCATGGGCCAGATTCCGACTTTGTGGTTGAGTTCATGCCGCCTCTAGATTGGCGAAGATTAGTTATTGCTGCTGTTATATAACAGACACAATTTGCGAGAGTTGCCTCAAATTCGCCCTCCGTGACGATGATGTAAGCTCCTCAAAATGGAAACCATCTTGCGACCCCCTCCCGAATCTCGCCGTTTCCTCCAAAATATTATTTATTTCAAGTACATAGAGCGATAATTTACAGATAAATAAATTTTATTTTGACCTAGCCACTTATAATTAAATCAATTCTCCACGAAGGGAAATTTCAGGTGGCATGCTGAAAATGACACAAATACAGATTTCATTGCTTATTGAGACAGAGACAGAGTCAGGGCATTAAATCTACAGTAAAATTATCTAAAATCATTTAAATGAAGGGGCTGGCATCTGATACTGGATAGAAATTGGAGGGTAACCAGTGGAATAGTAGTACTGTGAAGATTGAAGGATAGAAGATGATGATGAGGTAGAACCCAGGTTAAACATGGACTGGAATTGAAGTGGAGGCAATGGGGTCATAATGATGCCTAGAAGAAGGCACAAAGGTTGATGAAATTGGTGGAGGAATGCTCCACTGAAATCCATATTTCTCAGGAATGTGAGACTTAGATATGTCAGGCTCAAGTTCTGGGGGCTGATCTGTGCCTAGAGCTTTTCCATTGGCATGAACATGTGATAGGTTGATAGTGGCAGCATCTGGCTGTTGGTTGAGGGCTTCATTGATGGAGAAAATGGGTGTCTCAGTGCTGGCAAGTGATGGAACTGGAGTCTGGGAATAGGAAGGCAATGAAGAGACAGCCATGAGAGAAGGGGTATCATGTTGATTGAGGGATGGTGCATGATCAGGCACCCAAGGTGATGGTGATGACTTAGAGAGCTGAAGCATTGAAATACTTCATTGCAGTTGGAAGCAGCTGACATTGTTGAAGGGTATAGAAGACATGGTGACAGGAAATGCAGAGGAGGGGGAGATATTCAAATTAATTGAATAAATGAAAACTTGGTGTGTTATTCAAGTATTATTCACACAAAACTAATAAATGCCCCGACACGGCGTCGGTTTGCGCTTAGTCACGTTATCGCATTACTAGTTTGGAATTCACGTGGTGGCTATGCAGAGGGCGAATTTTCAAAAACTAAGGGGTTCCTGAGAGTGTCAATAATCGTTAATGCATTAATCTTTTGAATTTAATGAAGATGTACCTGAGGATAATAGCCGCCTTATTATCCAGGTGGGGGACCTGCAAATAAATCAGAAAACCATACGAGAATGTTTATGGTACGATTGGCCTTGGGGTGGATAGTAGGACATGTGTGCGAGGGTGATGCAACGACAAGCGTCTCGGCCTTGGCGATAGCTAACCTTTATACACCAAGAATTACATGGCCGGTCTTCTGGTTCGACTTGGCATTATTGCCTTGGTCTGTGCCGCAGTAACGTATTGGAACCACATGAAGCCACACAACGACGAACAGAGTACAGCATGGAGTTCTTCGTGGATGTGAGCCAACTTGAAGTTTGAAGCTTCTGAAGGTCGAGAACTCCCTTACTAAGGACCATCGATAAACAGACCATCAAAATGAGCAGATATTGCCGTGTCTTGTCACGTCCTGTTAAGCAACACACTAGGTTTGCTTTTGTGACTCCCGCGGTAGATTGATAATATTCCAAACGACAGAACTTCCAACTCTACAACGAGAGCCTAGGAGAAGGGATGAGAAGGGATGGGATTGATTGACAAATCGATGGAGATATTTACAGTGAACTGCAAACGAATGATTCACCGATGTTCAAGGCAGACTTTTCTTCTCAAGCCCCTAAATTTCTCCAATGAACGACCTGTCCTGCCCTCTTCCCTCCGCCAACTGCATTTCCAGATCAACGCTGACTTTCGTTATCTCATCCTCAAACCACTGCGGACTCTGGCTACGATCCAAATAACTCTTCTCCACCAACATGGCCAACATACTCTTCAACCAGGCCCTACATGACATGCCGGCCTAGCGGTTCTCTAGTAGTGAGGTGAATCCTAAGCGATTCGGGCCTGTAAAGACTTGCATCGCCATCTTTTCTTGGTCAAGCATCGTCTTCATGCCTTTGACTTTCATGAAGGCAAAGATCACCGACAGCTTTTTAGTGTAATTCGTGACTGTTACGCCCTCAAATCTGTCGGAACGAGGAGGTAGTTCTGTCCACTCGTACGTGGTAGCCTTGCCGTTTTCGTCTGTCTTGTAAAAGGCCCAGTGGAATCTGGCGAGATGATTTATGAGCTGATTGGTGGCAATGTAGAGACTGTTAGGCTCCAAAGGTACGATGGGGTTACTGGACGACATTTTATGCCTACCCCGATGAGTCAGGTCACAGTAATTCGGAGGAAGGAGACGGCATACTAGCTGAGTTTAAATTACGTTCGCCATCCGAGGACCGTACGTGCTTTTCCCCAAGGATCATTCCATATCTCTGTTCGCTGGATTGCGCCAACATCGAGCAGAATATCTTCCACCTTTTCGGCCTGCTCGTGTCCCACTTCGAGTGCCACAACAGCGTCGGTTTTGAGAAAGCCTGGGCGCGAGACCATGCCGGCGATGGCATGATAGAATTCAAGACCTGAGGGACCACCAAAAAGCGCCCTTGGATCCTCGTATCGCAAGACGGAAGGAGGAAGGTCAAGGTATTCTTTCCAGGGTATGTAAGGTGGATTAGCGCTGAGGACGTCGAATGGTGGCTCCACGCTCTTGGGAAATGCGGGATCCAGAACATTTCCTTGCTGAGCTTTGAAACTATTTCGCAAACCGTCAGTCCCAGACGGTATGTCGTGTCTTGCAGCGTTCTCCGTCGCTAACTCTACTGCGTCAGTAGAGACATCAACGCCGTAGGCACGCACGCTCCCTTGAGGCCAGAGGTGGCATAACAGCAGCGGTATGCATCCGCTTCCCGTACACAAATCCAGGATAGATATAGGGTGTTTTGGAGACGGCGTGATGGTCTTGGACAATCGAATGGTCCAGTCCTCGGTTTCCGGGCGCGGAATGAGCACCGGAGGCCGTACAATCAAGTTGAGGGCACCAAACGGCTGGGAACCTGTAAAATTCCTTCGTATAGATAGAAATACGATGATTTCATGCGCATATACGCACCCAGAATGTACTGGAGAGGCTCATCCTTCAGCCGTCTATCGACAAGTTCAGAAAGCGATTGCTTTGACGTTTCTGCGAATGCTGACATCCATTTGAGCTCCAGTGCAGCTTGAGAATGGCCTAGATAGGCAGCCAACCGTTGAAGGAGCATGCTCATCGCCGCGTGCGTCTGGAGCCAAGTTCGCTCGGAACATGCCGCAGTACTTTTCTTCTTCCTCTGACGTTTCAACATGGATTCAGTATCATGGTAGTCACCATTCTACACAGCCGGTCAACTATCATTTTTCGCTCTCATAAAAGCACAGGAGTGACCTGTCAGCTTAGAAGCTAGGGCTAGTGAAGAAAAAGGAGAAGGGTGGAAGGGCATTGCGTACGGTTGCGGTTTTTCTCCAAGACAACACTAACCGGGTGACAGACGGTAGCTGGTCTCCCTAAAAAAATATCTCCGTGCCTCGTTTTCCATTCGATTTCAACTATGCAAACACACTCGGCAGTCATCCCGAGATTCTTGATAGGCCTAAGAATCTCAGTGACCTTTACCCAACCGCTCTTCATTCGATCCCGGAGGAATCGCGCCTTGCCTTCTGGTCTACTGCAAACGGCTTCCCTTTTGGGCCTCCACTGAGTCCAGGATGTCACTTCGAGATCGTGAAAATGCATAATATTTCATTTTGTGAAGTTTATGTCAATATCAATTGTCCCTACTGAAACGATTCTTTTCCTTCCTTTATTTTCGCTGACGAGATGATGTCCTATAGCTGCCTATGATTATTGAGATCGTAATGCAGATCGTACACCATGCATGGAGTATCCGGAGAGAGCTCTACATTACCCTCTCAGCAGTGCTAATTCGATTTCACCAGAGTTGATGATAATACTGGCAATATGTTCTTACTTAATGCAAATAGTCCCTCACAGCGGGTCTCTCCAGGAATATGTTGGGAATATCAGCCTTACGCGCTCATATGAACTCGCCGAAGCTCTTAGCCAACCCACCCAAGACGGACGTGGAGCTAATGCCATCTTCAAGAATGCCATATGTGATGAAGTCGACGGCACGAACGTAGGTCATCTCGAATCGTTCAATACGATACTCGGGCTTGTAGTCCTCACCAAGGAGATATTAGAACGTGTCAACTGTCAAGAATGACTGTAGCCACGACCATTCGTCGTCATTGCGTACCCACAGCCCGACATTAACATTCCCACCCTGTATCAGTGTCACTCGGACTCAAAAGGGTTGTTCCCCAAGCTCACCTTGTCTCCAGAACGTTCCAAAACGATCTTGCCTATCCTTGATGTCAGTTGAGACGGTCAGCAAGCGACATACCGTATGCACCGAGGTGGGTCTTTGTAGTAGGACCGAAGGTGCTCAAATCCGTGACCATCTTGGGATCATATGAATCCTGACCATCGAAGGGTTCTGTGGAAACTACGGACCCCACGGGTATCACCATGTCCTCCACGTGCACCTTAACGTTGATCTTACTCTGTGGCACAAGAGCCAGGAAGTATGAAACAAAGGGCTTAGGAACAAAGGTTCAGAGATCCATATTCCTGCACAGTGGCGTTCAACGACTTGCCAGACAAAATACGCACGACTCTTACAGATGGAATCCTCCATACCCTGTCATGACTAGACCCCAAAAATGCTTGGTAAAGTCTATCATGGCTTCTTTCGTAGGCACTTGGAGGAACTGTCTTATGTGCACTGTCGCTTCTCACTGCGACTTCGGGTCGTCCGAGCAAGTGCCATATGCTTCGAGAGAAAACTTCAAGTAGCGGGATTCATCTATGCCGCCCACTAGTTGGGTGCGCAGAAGGTCTAGCTTCTCTCTGATATCTAGTCCTACGGCAAGGAAATACAATTCAGCTTGGTACCCGCCCATTGTGCACACGGCCAATTTTGTTGTCGGCGGAGGGGGTGAGCCTTTTATACCAAACAGACTGATGCGATTCTCTCCTACCCTTCTGTTACCTCGGCCACCTTGATAGGGTCCATTTGTTGCAGGCAGGTTACTTTTACGCAGTGGATAATAGGCCAGACTGAGTACGACGGTCAATTGCTTAAAGGCAGAGGTACGTATGACTACTACTTACCTGAGTATGACGGTCAATTGCTTAAAGGCAATTGACCGTTGACTCAGGACAAAACTGTCTGTGCTTATATAAGGTTGACATCAGGTACTTGTGTCGTCCCGCAACACTCCCCCTCGACACAATACTTCTCAGAGTTCAAGACCCAACAGCCTGATCATGTGAGTCATCTTCTCCTTCCCTAAGGCCTTTGTGAAGATGTCAGCAGGCATGTCTTCTGTGCGAAGATGTTCAATATGTATGTGCCCCC